TTTTAATCAAGGCTATTAACATACCTAAGAAAATTGTGTTGTAACTCGATCACCCTCTCACAGTGCCTCCAAATAATCGGGGTAAATGGGTCGACCCCCGAACCATTTCTAGGTTAAATGCGGTAAAACCTCTCATAACATGCACGCTAGTACAGTACAATGTTGCTTAAGACACAGTAACATGTTGATGCGGTTACCGAGCTAGCAAGCGTGTAAGAGGTGTAACTAAATACCTGTCTAACACAAAATTAACAAGACCGATCAATCAACTGTTCATGTGATGACCGTTCTCCTTTGGATTGGGATTTCTTTTCTTTTTTTCGTTTGCTATTATTTTTATTATGACCATGTCTTCAGCAATAGTACAAAGGGAAGGAATTTCCATTTGTTCTGTTTACACCTCAGCCTTTTAACTTGATTATTAATTAGTTGAATCGATCAGTAGTGCAAAACAGTTTTTCTGTGACGCTCGCGAGAGCGGCGCCGCCCGATCGATTTGCCCTGGTTTGCTGAACCATTTGATCAGTGAATGGGCACTATTGCTTGTCGGGGTGAACAAACTGCAACGTACTAAGTTCTCAAAAAAAAAAAAACTGCCACGTACTACTACTATATATGAGCACCCGGTTGAACCCTCTGTCCCGCTCATCCCAGTGCGAGCTGATCGTCTCTGCATCGGCAGCCAGCTTGATGAACCCTGAGTTCCTCTCGAAACTCAAGGCTGTTGTTGGCCCGATCTTTCGGTGAGTTGTGATAACTACGATTTAGAAAAAACGTTGACAACCCGACTACAACCGTACAAGACGTTGCGTTGCGCCTTAGCGATCGATACACCTCTCCGTGGGTTGTTGATCTTGCCGGTGCAAATCAACCTTATTCCTGCAAGCAAATCGAAGAAACAAGTAAGAACAAGATAAAAGCAATTTGAATTGCAAATAGGAGTTGAATACGAATGATAAGTTGGGGTTCCGAAGAACAAACAGACGGACGGTCTAGCCGACACGCGCGCTGCAAGCAAGTAGCAATGGCTAAACTTTAATCTATCAAAACCCGAAAAACCCTGAAGGGGTATCTAGCTATATATAGGGGTGGGAGGACGACTTAGGGGTGCCTAGGGTCGTGCTCCCCCAGATTGGGGCGCACCCTATATGGGCCCCACTTGGGCCGGGGTCCCAAACATAGTTGCAAGCCCAGAGGCCCAAGACAGGTGACGCAGCACCTTGTTTATGTGATTGCAGCCAAATGACACGGAATTTGGCTATGAAGCTAGATCCGTTGGAAAGAGGGCTCCGAGAGCTTTCCATCAAGTACTCACGGGCCGAAAACGGAGGTCGTATGCAGATTCGGCGGCCATTTGAAGTCAGCAGTGTAGCAGGTGGCCGAATCTGATTCCAGCACTTGGAGGATTTGATCTTGATATCATCTTGTTCATCCATGATGTGAGTAATGGTTGTATCCATAGTAGCCATGGTCATATCATCCTCCCCTTCTTCATGGAAAACCGTCCTCGGTTTTTCCATATGGTGCTCAACGCGTGGTCGATTTAAAACAACCTATTTCATCATATCAAAACAAGACAAACTCGAGATAATTTTGTTAGCAATAACATTTCTCTCTAGCTTGCATGTTTTATCCACATGTATAGGAGGTTCTAAATCTGAACATATGTAAACTCTATGCACCAAATATATTCCTCTATCATCAGATTCACCAAATATATGAAAAATAGCACTAGTTGGACAAGGCAAATCAGACTTAGCAAATAATTTCTTCTTCAAATTATCGAGCTCACAAAAATCATCAAACTGAACATAGCCCAAAATATTTAAAGAAGATAGCAATTCACGTTCCTGTACATCATTAGCAATGTGAACAACATGCTTAAAATCGGCACACAAAGAAACACTAGAAATAGCAAGTTTATTCACTAGTTGTGGTAGGGATATAAGTGAAGCATTATCACACAACTCTTCTTTATCACAAGGAATAGCAAGTAAATCAACTTATGACAAAGGCAAATCAGAAGTAGTTTCCACCAAAATTTGCTCTAGATTAGCATGGATAGTGGACAAATGTGACTCATCAGAAGCACACTCACCTTGGGTAATACCAGCACCATTTAATTTACCTTTTATGCCCTCTTCAGATAATGTAGGTGCATCAGTCTTCTCTTCTTCCTTCGTGAGTGATGGAGATGACATCTCGAGCATATTGCTCTTCTCCTCATGGTGAATGTTCTGAGCTCCCTGCAAAGTGTGTCAGTAATAGGAGGCACAAGCATAGCTTGTTTCTCCCTTGGGTTCTTTAAAATATTGCTCTCAACACTGCAAGCAAGCATGAACAAGTGGCCTATATGATTATATGTCACATTAATAAGCTCAGCCTGAATATCAGAATTAAGCCCTCTAAAAAATCTAGTCATTGTGTTCTCATTGCTTTCTTTTAAACCACTATAAGTGATACAAATTTTAAAGTCATGAAAGTACTCCCGCACAGTTTTGTCACCTTGTTTTAGATGTTCTAATTTCTCAAGGAGAGTACGTTTATAATATGAAAACACAAAATTTTTTCTCATCATTGTTTTGCATTCATCCCAAGTTTCAAGCTTATTGCCAATAGTATACCACCAAAAAGATGCAGAACCAGTACACTTATTACTAGCAGCCTTAATCATTTGAGCATTAAAGAAATCATACTCATCAAATTGTTTGTCTACTGCTAGCTCCCAATTAACATAAGCGGCGGAATCATAATTACCATCAAAAACAGGCAAATTAGATTCTACCCTTGCAAGATCATTATCATGTACCTTATATGCAAAGCGTGAAGAAGACGATATATCTCGTTGATGGTGAAGAAGTCGATGTTGAGCATGACCATCTCGTTTCCCCTTTCGCAATCCTGCCATGGTTAGTAGCAAATAAGAAACATACACAAATATATGCACGCTCCTATCAACTACTAGGTAGTGGCAGCTCAAATATCACACACACTCAAGCTTTTAACCAAGCTCTTACAAGTTCTTACCAAAGCAAGCGGAAAGGTGACATACACCGACTCAACCAATCACCCCAATGGAGGTTGGATGTATTGATGCCTTGGCAAGCACTTGCTGTACGGCTGCAATCAAATCTGTAGAGCTCTGGGTAGGCTTAAATATGTAGCAAAGGAATAGCAAATGCTCAAATCAGAGAATGGAAAGTTGAATAATTGTTCAAAGTCAAGCACCGTACTGGTCCTAGGCTAAAACGTACCAGAGACGTGAACCTAGACACAAACGATACCACAAGATAGCACAACTCTGATATATCAAAATGACCTCAATGATAGCAAATGATTTTCTCACCTTTTATTTTCCTTCTTTCTTTCCTTTCTTTTTTTTCGGTGCGGCTTTTTTTTTACCTTTTTTATGCACCTTTCTGCATTTTTTTTTCTGTTTTTTTAACAAAACCAACTCAAGGACCTCAATGTAAGATCACATGGACTCACACGTAAATATAAAAACTACAGGGACTCAACTGTAAAAGTGCAAATTCAAAATTAAAATTATAAAAAATGGAATGTGGAATTTACGCCGGTTCCGTTTTTCCAAACAGATCTCGAAACCGACACCAAACAAAAATTCACCAAGGTGTTTAACACAACTCGGAACCGAGGAACCAACGTGAGAGAGGGAGGGAGTCGGACTTACAGGATGGCGAAGATAGAGTGGTTCGGTCCTTTGTGATATGGAAGGCCGGACTTGTGTAGGATAAAAACATAAACTTATTTTTAAGCGATCCAATCTACTATTTCCTTCCTGATCAATCTTGCATATTTCCAAAACCGATTCCTCCCCACAAGCACGACCGAACTACAGACTCACGGCCAAACTACAGACTCAAGCAAAACCTAGATGCAACTTCAAAACTGACCGACATAAACTTCTCAAAACTACAAAAATAGAACCGTGGCAGCGAGCCGATTCCGTTTTCGTAGGTCCCGACAACAACAGAGACACGGTGGCAGCGACGACTGTGGTACAAAACGTGACCAGAACTCAAAACTCTAAACGAACTAGACGCTAAGACCAGCAACACGACGTGACGATGCAACACAAAATTCAACAAAGCAAAAACTGAAAAGAACAATGCAATGGCACAATATGGCTAGGTAAATGATACGAATTTTTTTTGTATGCCTATTTTCTGGTTATAGGAAGATAAAAGCTCACCGAGCAACGAAAGCTCTGATACCACCTGATGAATCCTGAGTTCCTCTCGAAACTCAAGGCTGTTGTTGGCCCGATCTTTCGGTGAGTTGTGATAACTACGATTTAGAAGAAACGTTGACGACCCGACTACAACCATACAAGACGTTGCGTTGCGCCTTAGCGATCGATACACCTCTCCGTGGGTTGTTGATCTTGCCGGTGCAAATCAACCTTATTCCTGCAAGCAAATCGAAGAAACAAGCAAGAACAAGATAAAAGCAATCTGAATTGCAAATAGGAGTTGAATACGAATGATAAGTTGGGGTTCCGAAGAACAAACAGACGGACGGTCTAGCCGACACGCGCGCTGCAAGCAAGTAGCAATGACTAAACTTTAATATATCAAAACCCGAGAAATCCTGAAGGGGTATCTAGCTATATATAGGGGTGGGAGGATGACCTAGGGGTGCCTAGGGTCGTGCTCCACTAGCTTGGGGCGCACCCCACATGGGCCCCACTTGGGCCGGGGTCCCAAACATAATTACAAGCCCAGAGGCCCAAGACAGGTGACGCAGCACCTTGTTTATGTGATTACGGCCAAATTGCACGGAATTTGGCTATGAAGCTGGATCTGTTGGAAAGAGGGCTCTGAGAGCTTTCCATCAAGTACTCACGAGCCGAAAACGGAGATCGTATGCAGATTCGGCGGCCATTTGAAGTCAGCAGTATAGCAGGTGGCCAAATCTGATTCCAGTGGTTATATCCATAGTAGCCACTCGATCTGCTAGCTTATCCCTGTGAATTAGCTGCTATGGATTACTCCCTGTTCATCACCGGCGTCCTGGGTACGTACTGATCTCGCCGGCCGGATGGCGCAGGCAGAACGCACATATATTTCTATGTCAATCTCTGTACATATCTTCCTCTTTGGTCTTTTGTTGTCACATTACAGATTTTTTTTACCATGTCGCATGCAGGCAACGTCACTGCGCTTTTCATCTTTCTATCTCCCATGTGAGAGAATGGTCCTATATACTCCCTCCGTTACACGTTATAAGACGTCTTTTTTCTCTATTCTTATCCTCATTTAGATTTACTATATTTATAAAATTTGAACACATATATGAAGCACATATATGAGTCTCCACACGAATTTATTTAAAACACAAAATGTTTTATAATGTGAAACAGAAGGAAATATCAATCTAGCTATTGCCGTAGTGCTGCATATACCACCATTGCACGCATATATGCAGCCGTGACATCGGTCGGCTATGCATGCATATGAGCATATCTCTGCTTTTTGTTGCATTTATTTATACAGGAGCTTTTAAGTTTGTGCCTGGTTATTATACGCGTGCGTTTTCGTGGCTTGGTGCAAACATATACGCAGCCCGACGTTTTACACGATCGTGAGGAGGCGGAACACGGGTGTGCAGCAGCCGGAGCCATACGTGTTCACGCTACTCAACGCGCTCCTCTGGCTCTACTATGGCGTCAGTAAGCACAACGGCCTTCTCATCGCCACCATCAACGGCTTCGGGACCGTCATGGAGGCCATCTACGTCGTGCTCTTCATCCCACTACTAGAAAAATAATTTATTATCATGAAAAAAATCGTAGCATCAATGTTAAAATTATTGCAATAGATACATATTGCCACAATCTTAAAATCGTTGCTAGCCGTGGTAATAGGTTATTGCAACGATTTTTATTTAGTTGTAATAAATTTTGTTATTGCCATAAAATGTATGTGGCAAAAAATATATATTGCAACACTTCACATCGTTGCAATAAATAACTATTGCCACCACTCCATGTGTGGCATTAGTTCTACGTACCAAATTAAATATTTCAATATTAATTTATCATCCTAACTATTTTCTTTTGATATCTTGACATGGCTAGGATTCGAACCCAAGATCTCTCCCTCACGCGCGCTCTCCATGACCAACTCACCTACGCATCAATTTTGTTTAAAAATACATATAATTCCATTTGAGACTGCTTAACTGAGATTTGAATCATGAATTTGAGTATTTAAAAGATTTCAAATGATAAATTTAGGTTGTAGATCTCATCGAGAGGTATAAATTTCATATAAAATTTGTCCTAATCCGTGTCCATATGAAAAGAATAAGCTAAATTATGAGATGATATATTTTGTATTGCAACGAATTTGTTGATCATGGCAATAGAAAATAGTGAAAGTACCATGTACTGTGCAAATTGCCACAAAAATTAAATTTGTGGCGATAGAACATATTTTTTTGCAATAATAATATTTTTGTGGCGATAGCTCATTTCCTATTGCAACAAAAATACTGAATAAAACAACGATTGTAAGTCATTACAACAAAGTATAGTTATTTGCAACAGAAAAATTATCATTGCGATAATACAATATATTGCCCCGAATTATTTTTCGTTGAAATAAATTGGTGGCAATAGCTCAATTATATTGTAGTGTCCTCTACGCCACCAATCAAAACATGAGGGTGAGAGGAGAGTTGATCACTTTAATTTGTCGGGAGCAATTTTTTCTTTCAAGTATGTTAATTTGTTACATCTCCATAAAGGAAGATTCTATATATAAAATCATGAGTAAGAACTTTAATTTGGACTGAACTCAGCCAATTACTCACACGGAAGGGGATGGAGCCATATGGAAGCACATCCTCTAACTTCGCTTAAGTCATGGGTGTCCAGTTCCGTCCTATCCTCCATCTATTATTCTCATCCAATTTACCGCGAATTGCACACTAGTGATTGCCATGCAAATTCAGAGGATCCAAACCCAAACCCATATATACACTATTTCAACGTACTCTCTCCATCCCATAAAAATTGTATTTCTAGCTCCAAGGCTTTGTCCCACAAAAATTGTATTTCTAGCCACGTGGGACCCAACCAATTGATTCGTCTATATAAGTTCCCTTCCATCCCACGTAATTTGGGCTGCTAATGCTTATAATTTTATTAAGTATGCTAATTATATGGGTTAATTCTCTCAAACTTCCTTTTAATCATTTGTATATATAGAATGTTTACATGCAGTGGGTTCATTAAATAAGGTTATTGTGGTCATTTTTCAATCATACTATTTTGTCCTAAATTAACTAGAAATACAATTTTTATGGGACGGAGGTAGTAATTTTTTTTCAAACAAAGGTGTCAAGTCAACGCGTGTCTCGCTATCCTTGGAATCAAATCAATTAAACCCGGCCCTCAAGTTAGGAGTTGAACAAACATGAGCTGATGACAGTACTTTTTGTTAATTCATTAATCAAATCTGTTAACTAACTCGATTATTCAATACACTTTATTTAACAGTAGATTGTATTTGTAGCCCATTTAATTCATTCAGATAAATTAAATGATCCGTTATTGAACCATGCTTTTCCATTCAGAAATTTGGCCATACATATTTCACTAGCTAATGAACTGTTTATAGAAACCTCTGTTGTGTTCTAACACGATTCTTAGGCCTTTGTTTGAATCGGGGAAATTATAAATGATGATCTCGTAGAAAAAAAAGTAGAAATTATTAATTTCAAGCACCCTCGTAACTACTTGCTGCTGACAGTAGTGGCATGTCGATTGTATGAATGTCCCTGCAAATTTTGTTTCAAACTATATATTACGGAAGAATGATCACCAGAAGTCTTTGATTAATTGCTCTTTTTGCAGGATAGGACAATAAAATGGGCAGTGGGATTAGACATTGGCCTTTCTGGAGCTGTATTAGCAGTGGCAACATTTGCCATTAGCCAGCTACAATTGAGAATCAGGGTGATCGGAATAATATGTGCGTGCTTCAACGTGTTGATGTATGCCTCTCCACTCACAGCCGTGGTAAGGCCTCACCGTCTTTAGGCTCAACTTTCGTTTGTTGTGCCATCCGCGGAACTGCCTATTCATTTGACGTGTGATCTTTAAAAAATCACCTAAATTTTTTCTACCCCTAGATTTATATCCAACGGACTAAAAAGAAAATAACAAATACATATATACTTACATAATATTTTTATCAAAAATTACAGTGACTTACATGTCATATCAACTGAATTTACAAATGAAATTTTAGTTATATAGGATTGTAATTTTTTATTTTAAATAAAACAACTAATACACATATACTTACACAACATTTACAAAGTTATATAGGATTGTACGTTTATATTTTATTTTAGTTTCAAATGTCTTAATTTAATTTTCTAATGTTATAGAAATCAATTTTTATTTAGAAAAGAACCGAGCCTAAGCGCCTTATCCACGCATGTAGCCTCCACCACCAATTGTCGTGCGCCAAAAAAATGTGAAATACCTGGGAAAAAAAATCACGCGACAGATATCTAGCAAAAACCGCAACTATGTATTTGTAATGAAATTTTATTTTTTTAGTTCATTCTAAATATAATTATAAACTTATGGTTAGACAAATATGTTATTCAACTACATAGTATTTTGACTATCCAACTATCCCACGCATTTCTCTCCAACTATCCAATTTTTTCCGAAGTTGGTAATATTAAAGTTTGCAATATACTACTCCTATATTAGATTAAAAATAGTTTTCCAAACGCTGAGTACCTATAACCTGTTGTAATAAAAACAAGATTATTATAGTTCACCGCAATAACAAATGGATCCTTATGTTGTGCTTGATATTACGGTATGTATTTTCAGACCAAAGCATAATTTTTAAGCAGGTATAAGAAAATCTTGCTAAATTAAATTACTGACTTTTTATATAATCAACTATCTTTACAAGAACATAAATAATTGTGGTATGGGTGCTGAATATGTGTTATGCCACAATAAAGTGTTTATTTGGTAAAATAATACTACCTCCGTTTTTTAATATATGATGCTTTTGACTTTTTAAGATATATTTGGCCATTTGTCTTATTTAAAAATATATTTTATTTTAAAACTAAACATACACATGATATCATCATTATCAAATCATTTTCATAATATTTTAGTCCAAATCATTTCATTATTTCTCAAATATTTAACATATATCCCGCGGCAAAGCGCGGGACATCACATCTCTCTCTCTTCTTTTTTAAAATTGGAATTATTAAAAGAAGTTATGGATTGATATTCTATCCATTTTAACTCTTTTACTGGGTTTCAATACAAGTACTTGTAATTTTGTGGTTAGAAAGAGAAATATTCGCATCGATACAACACGTATTGGTCTAGAATATGCGGCCCCCTTCATGCATTGAGTAGCTGATTCTTTGGCATTTACATGTTATATGCATGTACATTAACATCATGAAAATACATGAAAGGGTACATATATATATGTAACTATGATTGTGGGTTTGAAAAACAGATAAATGTGATTCAACACGAGAACGTGGATGCCATGCCGTTCTGGCTATCATTTTTCCTCTTCCTCAACGGAGGCGTCTGGCTTGTCTATGGGATAATTGACAGAGATATGCTGATTGGAGTAAGTATAATTGAGCCTCACTTCAAATAAGTTCAATATTGTACCCACGTTCAACATTCCACGGCTTGTTTATCTAAAAAAAAAACATTTCACGGCCCGAGGTTACTACATGCTCATCCTATCCTCTTATAAAACTGGAGCATTTATTTATCCCTAATAGAGTATGCAAGGGTACCACACTTTTTAATTTAATGTTTTGCGTTTCAATTTCTTCTTATTGTTAAGGTAACAAGAAGTATCATAAATTAATTAATAGAAAATAAATGTGGCGCCTTTCGGTATATTGTCAAATTACTGTAAAATCACTCGAACTAGTCAATGTGTTAACACATTTTTCTCCATACGTTTCGATTGTAATAGTAGAAAGGACACTATATCACTGAAATAATACCAGCAATGATCTCTAACCGTTAGAGAACAAATGGCAACTTGATTAGAGCAAAAAGGAATTGAAGAAAATCTATATTTTCCTAGGACGGCCAATACTAAAAATTTATGTCAATATATCCCTAATTATCCACATCATCCATATTCATCCTTCTCATTTTCTCTCCCTCAATTATAAAAACCCTACAGAGTTGGCCTTTACCTAGGCATGCAACTATATATCCTATAGTACAGTGTGCATAGTATCATCTACCTCTCTATTTCATATTATAAGGCCGTGTTTAGATTCAGGGGGATTCAGGGGTGAAAAATTTTGGCGTGTCACGTCGGATATACAGACACACATTTGGAGTATTAAACATAGTCTAATAACAAATTTATTAAGCCTAATTAATCCATCATTAGTAAATGTGTACTGTAGCACCACATTATCAAATCATGGCGCAATTAGGTTTAAAATATTTATCTCGCAATTTACACGCAATCTATGTAATTAATTTTGTTTTTTTGTCTATATTTAATACTCTATGCATGTGTCAAACATTCGATGTGACAGGATGAAAAGTTTTTGTGTGGGAACTAAACACGGCCTAAGTCACTTTAACTTTTTTCTAAGCAAATTTCTTTAAATTTAATTTACTTTACAGAAAAATATAGTAACATATATAACATCATGTTAGTTTCATTAAATCTAATACTCTCTCCTTCCCAAATTGATCGTCATATAATGGAATTCAAAATTTCTTAAATTGATCGTCATATAACCGTATGGACACAGATTTCATCAGAATACAATTAATGCAGCATGGGAGAATGTGTGCATGCTAAGGTATAATTGGCATGGTGTTTTAATCATAGTTATTAAGACCAGGCCGGTGATTGAACCGCTGGAGTGCTCGGTTCATCAGTTTATTGGTCTAACCGGTTTGATCAGGGTTAAATAGATAAATGATGCACTATAATCACAACAGAAGTCATAGCCCAGCGGTGGAGTGGTTAGGTGTTGCGTGACCATGTGTTTGATTGCGAGCCTCCACTCTTTTTTTCTCAATTTGTGATTTAAATTATTTTTGGTCTTTGTGCATAAACATATATGATGATCAATTTAGAAATGAGGGAGTAGTATGGTTGTTTTGTGTTAGAAATATTGTTAGGTTTTTCTATAAATTTGATCAAATTTAAAAAGTATTGATTTAAAAAATTAAAGCGACTTATAATATAAAAATGAGGACGTATATATATCTACTGATTGAAGCAGGCCGATAAATTTATGTCAATTAACATGCCAAGACTTATTAATTTACACATGCATGACCATTATGTTCAGAGTAACAGAGATATATATGACATCACACGTACTCCTAGCAAGAGTCCCCTATAGTTCTATTATTACAAACAGTTCAATTAATTTCTTTATTGGTGACATTTCCCTGACCCCCTGTGCTTGCCCTTTGCAGATCCCAAATGGTATAGGCTTCTTACTGGGGACAATCCAACTGATCGTATACGCGATCTATGCGAATTTCATCCATTGCCGCAGGCTTCGGCTCTTCCTTCGGGGTTTAGTGGGCAGGCAGGCTCTGGTGGCGCCTCTTCTCCCCAACGCCGTTGAAGGGCAGGAAGCTTAAGATCCAACGTCGTGCTGCCATGTTGCTTAATTACTGTGTGTGATCTTGTGTGTGCTTTTTATATTTGATCAGCTGTTTGTTTCATAAGAGTGTTCATGAAATGAGTTTGCTAATACGCACAATTGAGTTCTCGGGTTCATTCCAGCAAATACATGCTTTCTGATCCGTGCTTGTCTTGTCCCGTTTTCCGGTGGGCTGGCACCGAATGTGTAATATTGCAAGAACCCCAAAATGTAGGATATAAATGATGTAAACTGAAGGCACTGTGCTGGAATGGTAATGGTAATGAACTTTTGGTTGTTTTGATTTTTTTTCTATATCACTACTAGCAAAACCATTTTTACCATAGCAAATATTCTTTCCAGGCGGTAGGCCTCTCAGAGCCAAGCGGGCACCTACAAAAATGGCAGTGGGGTGGGGGGGGGGGGGGTTGGCGAGACCGTCGTTCGTCTGTGAAGATAGATTTTTGCAGGTGAACGGCATAAGACGCTTCCTATGATTATCGCAAGTGGACGCCTTATGTGGTTCACCTACGAAATTATGTCACCTTATGTCGTCCGCTGCAAAAAAGAGGTTATAAAACCTTCTTTCCCGAGAAGCTGTGCGACGAAGAGAAACACCATGGGAGGAAGCGGCACGAGTGGGGTAGGGCGACGGTCGGGAGCAGGAGGGCCCAGGGGAGCAGAGCAAGCGGGAGGAGGAGCGCGAGGCCGCCACCCACCCCTCAGCATCCCCTTGGGACCACCACTATTATTATTTTTATGTCATCAAAACTAGCCATCTATACTGCTGGGATGTAATTTAACCCGGTTTTGTAAGATGGGGTGGTGAAGATTTCTGATATTGCGGTTTAGGGATGTCAATTAAACTTGATGAAAAGATACGGGACGGCACGTGAACTTATTCCTCCGGCATATATTGGGCTCATCCTGTGTGGGCCTCAGCCCACGAGCCTCACACGTGCCATCGACGAGCCCCTGTGCCGTCTAACCGCCGCCGCCGGCCCAGCGCGCCGCCCTCCCCCTCCGGCCGGCCGCCCCACCGTCGGCGCAGCCGCGCTTTGCTCCGACGGCGCCCACCGCTTCCGTCGGAGCTGGCCGGTTCATGTGCAGAGCGACCGGCAGCAGTGGCCCCATCGGCTAAAGCGGTGGCGACTCCATCTGCGGCGACGAGCCCATCGACTAAGGCGGCGGCGGCGGTGCAACCATCAGCAGATCAGCTACGGAGGCGGTGGACTCCTTGGCCGTTGGGGGAAGCGGAAAGCTCGGCGGAGGTCCTTGGTCGTAGGCCGAGCCTCTGCCACAGGAAGGTCTGGTTACACATGAAGCATGGGAGTTCATCAATGGCAAGCTTGGCCTTCAATATCACTCCAGTCCAATCGCCAGAACAATCCGTGTGCTCACTATTGCTCCATTTCTTTAGTCTTGTTCTCTTATTTGCTCAGCCTGATTATTCCGTTATATTTTCTAATATGAATTTCTTATCGATAAGACGATAGTGCTCTATCTGAATTTCATTTGTTAATTTCTCTAGCTTCAGTTTCTGATTGATGGTCCGATCTGAAATTCAGAAGCAAGAAATGCGATACCCATGCTAAAATTCAGTGAACTTTTTATCTAATCCCAAACAGTTCTTTTAGGCTGTTTATGATTCACTGGTATTTTAGGTTGGCCAATAGGTATGTATGGCTGTATCATTATATCAAAAAAAAGATAAAATAGGTATGGCTGTATTTCCTTTACAAGTGAGAAAATCTGTTAGCTTCTTGGTAGGTTTCCTTATTGGCTATACTTGAATTTAGGCCAACTTACCTCAGTTCATCCACGGACCACGGTTCAGTTTCAAACTTGCTGTTATCTCTAGGGTGGTAAGATGGAGGAACTTCGAAAAGCTCTTATTACTCAGTGATCCATATGCATTGTCTATATTTGCACCATCAAATAGTACCTAAACATCGCGTTGAGTATAGCAACACTATCAATTTCAGGAATTAAGCCGGAGCTCCTCTGCATCAGTTATACGCGCACTAGCTAGATTTTGAAGTTAAAACCCACTGGAGCAGCCGTGGCCCATGGGTGCAGGTGCAAAGACACCCAATAAATTATGTTTTACATGAAAAGGATAGATTTGGAACCAATTGTTGCACCATTGTTTTAGCCAAAACCAACAACACGCTTGCTTTACCAAATTCAACTGACCTATTCAAGTAGCACACCAACCAAAGTGCACACTAGCGTGCAGCAATAATCAATTTTGGAATCTACCATATTTTATTTATTTAATTAATTTTTACACTAATTAGAGTTCTCCCATGATTACCCCACCTTAATTTAGGAAGCATTTTTTGGCTTTGTGAAGTTCCCCCAAAGTGCTACATTTTGGTTAAGAGACACTAAATGCTATTTCAAGTAGCCAAAACAAAGCATATGGATCAGCTAATGTCTTTAAACTATGGAAACATGATGCTAGTTTGTGAATAACAAGGTCTGCTATAACAATTGGGAATTAACAAAGCACAACTTGCTATAGTTCAACTGAACAAAATAATTTTCATAAAATGAGATCAACTTGGTGAAGGATGTGTAATTCTCCTGGAACTTGTCAAAATACTGTGAATATATATACTATTTTAGATGAATTTAGGAATGAGCGGATTTTGGTCAATAACCAGCTCCAGGAAGTTTTCGACTATAGAAAGCATTATTCACAAATTTCTAGGTTCTTTGCAATTATATTTGCAAAGAAAACAGGGATCAACAATTTTTGTATTGTGTGTCAAAAATCACAAGGTTTGAATTTTCAAATACATGTTTTCCTTATAAAAATCAACGGGAGAAATACTTGTCGTATATTGTGCTTAAAGTTTGTATTTTAAGGATTCAGGCTTGTAGTTTGACTTCAATTTTTAATTTTCACACTATAATTCAGTGACTTCTAAACATAAAACTTTGACTAATTCAAATTCATGTTAACTTGGAATTAGTATATTATCCTTTGTACCAATTCCATTTATGGGGATCCAATGGGGCCATGGATTAATCAGCTGGACAGCTGGTTGGCATAACTTCTCATTCTGTCCACGGGAAGATTAAGTTAAAAGTCATTGTGCCCACTGGAACATAAGTAGAACTCAAGAAATAGTACATAGTACATGATATTTTTGACCAGGAACCGAGTACATGATGTACATCCAATATTATTCGTCTACAATGTACACGATTTTTAAGGTGCCATGCATCGATAAAACAGAGACCGGCAAGAGTTGTGTATAAAAGGTAAATGAGCATGGCTCTTGTAATGATCTTCATCTATTTATATTCAGTAATTTCTTGCTCAATTGTTCTCTGTCCTCATAGACAAATTGCATATTGATTTCACTAATCCCATCCTCGCTCTAGGTGATTAGGTGTCAATTACCAACTGAGGCCATCGTGGTGAGTACTTCGGTGGGAGTGATGAACTCACTGCTTGTGAAGCTCACCTCCCTGCTGGGAGAGGAGTACAAACTGCTCAAAGGTGAGAAGGATGACATCAAATATCTCTGAGACGAGATGAGCAGCATGAATGCTCTGCTTGTGACGCTGACAAACATGGATGGGCTCAGCGATCAACAAAAGGAGTGGAGGAACAAGGTTCGCAAGCTCTCCTGCGACATGGAGGATTGTGTGGACCGTTTCATGCACAAAATCAGTGAGCACAATGGATTGGCTGGTGACATCGATATCTGACTTTATGGCTCGTGTCCAGGATGCAATTGAGCATCGTGACAGGTATAAGCTCAGTGAGTCTGTCCCCACGGCTACACCGACTCATGTTGTTGCCATTGATCCTCAGCATCTAGCACTGAATGAAGAGGAAGATGGACTTGTAGGCATTGAAGGTCCGAAGCAGAAAATCATAAGAATGTTAATGGATGAAGAGGAGGGATCACGGAAACTCAAGGTGATTTCCATCGTGGGCTCTGCTGGTATTGGCAAGACTACCCTTGCCAAGCAAGTGTACCTGGAAATCAAAGGCAGATTTGATTGTTCGGCTTTTGTGTCCTTGTCTCAAAATCCAAGCATGAATAAGATCTTCACACATATACTTTCACAGGTGGGGTTCAAAACCCGAAGACCTTTGCACCGTGAGTATGATCTCATCGATGAACTTAAACAATATCTCAGGGGAATGAGGTACGCTCATTTGTGCGTGCAAATGTTTTATTTTTCTTTTTCTATGAAAGGATTTCTTCCTGGACTATAGTTGTTGGGCTAAATGAAGGGATCAAACTAAGTGATACAGATTACAGAGTAACATTTCTGGTAAATTATAAAAAAAGATATATGATAAAATGGCAAAGTCACCTTTTTAATGACTACATCAGCATCAAATTACTGAGGTCAGGATGAATGGATGGTGGCCTTGTGATCCCATAGAAAATGCCTCTTTTGCGCCTTGTTTACAATAACTATAGGTCAAGACCGACAGAAACAAATACATGAAACAAAAAATTGCAGTAGCTAGAGCTTTTGTAATACTGTATGCTACTATGCTGCGTAGCACTGTAAATTTCAGCTAAGGGTTTTTTTTTGTTTTAGATTATTCAGATATATAGAATTTTATAAATAACAAAAAAATGAAAAAAATCACTATTTTATTTCTAAAGAAGAATGTTCAGAATTAAATAGTTCTCCTTCAGGATTATTTTTTTTTTTCAAAATATGTTCAACTTATGCTCTGTTTTTTTCCAACCAAAGTATACATTCTATACCATTTAGAACTCATATTTGTCGATGGTAATTTGTAGAATCAATCACTTGTCAGTGACAAAACATAGAATTTCTTAAGAAATAACCATCTTTATAAATTCTCTTGATAGGTACCTCATTGTGATCAATAATATTTGGAGTGAATCGGTATGGGATACGATCTGCTTGGCTTTTGCACTTCGTAAATGTGGTAGTAGGGTTATAATAACTACATGTATTGAGGATCTAGGGAGTGTATGCCGCCCAAACTTTTATGGGCACATCTACAAGGTTGAACCACTTAATGATTTTGACTCGAGAATGTTATTCTTCAGAAGAGTTTTTAGTAATGAGGATGCTTGTCCTGATCATTTAAGAAAAGTATCAGAGGAAATTTTAAGGATGTGTGGAGGTGTACCATTAGCAATAACTAGTGTTGCTAGCATATTGGCTGGTCAAGGTGACATGATGATCGAGAAATGGGAGAGGATACTAAGCTCTCGTGGTTATGAGTTGGAAACAGATCCTACTATAGGATGGATGAGACATGTTCTGAGCTTTAGCTACAGCAATCTTTGTCCTGAACTTAGGACTTGTCTATTATATCTTTCTACATTTCCAGAATATTGTTCGATTCGCAAGGATGATCTGATCAGACAATGGATAGCTGAGGGTCTAGTTAAGGAGAAATTTGGATGCGATCAGTATGAAATTGCAGAAATTTACTTCAATAATCTGATTAAAAGAAGTATAATCAACCCTGTTGATATCGATGATTGTGGAATGGTGATGTCTTGTCGAGTGCATGATCTGATGATTGATCTTATCATATCAAAGGCCATTGAAGAAAACTTTATTGCTATATTAGATGATCAGCATACTATGAGAGGATCTCATGAAGCACGTCGATTTACCCTTCACTTCAACCGAGACCTGGAAAATACAGAGCAGAACTTGGTGCTGACAAGATCAGTTCACCACCAAACTCGATCAATTAGCTTTTTGGGTCCTATTCAATGCATGCTTGTTATATCAGAGTTCAAGTACTTGCGACTCCTACAGATTGAAGTTTATTACTCAAACATTGACAGCTATGATTTAACTCATATGTGTGAATTTTTCCAATTAAGATACTTCAGAATCAGAGGTATCCTCTGCAAACTTCCAGAAAAGATTGGAGGACTCAAATATCTGGAGACATTCGATATAGATGATAACGTGAAAAATATTCCATCAGATGTTTGTAAGTTGTCATCAATGGCACATCTGACTTTACCAAAGCATGCAAAGATTCCCAGCGGCATTGATAAATTGGTAGCCCTCAGAACTCTGAAGGTCTCAACTAGCTATGATACATCAATAGAATTCTATGAGGGCTTTGGCTCTCTGAGAAAGCTAAGAGAGCTTGAGCTTGGTGCGACTAATTACATGTCAAGAGACAAGGTTGTTTCACTGGCTGCATCTCTCATGAAACTTGGAAGCTGCAGTCTTCGGTCCCTGATTCTTCGCAACGGTGACTTATCACTTGAGGCCGGTGACCGCCTGAATTTTTGGTCCCCTCCTCCGCTCCATCTTCGCAGGCTTCATGTTTTCGAGGTCGTCTTCTCATATGTTCCAGATTGGATCGCAAAACTTGATAAGCTCACAAGCATGGTTATTCGTATTCGCGAGATCTCGAAGGATGGGTTTGGTGTTCTTGCAAGGTTGCCTTGCCTCCTTTTCCTTAGATTGAGTGTTCATCGTGTCAAGGAAGAAGACGCCACCATTGTTGTCTGCAGTAGGACATTCCAACATCTGAAGGAATTTTGGTTCAGATATAAGGTGCCATGCCTGGTGTTTGAGCCATTGGCGATGCCCAGACTGCAGATCCTGAATATACAATTCGACGAAGAATGCCTGTATGGAAGGGATGATGGTGTACCATGTGAACCGGCTGGCATCGAGCACCTGACTAACCTTATGCAAATCTCTGCACATATTCATCTAGCTCACCATTGGATGTGGCAAACTCCGGCCTTGCCGCGAAGAAAGGTTAAGCATTTTAGTGAAAGACATGATGAGGATGGCCATGGCCAGGTTGAAGAAGAAGCTCCAGTGTACAAAAAGGCAGCGGAGGCCATGTTGACAAGAGCAACCAGCAAGCATCCTGGGATTCACTATGTTAATATTCAGTTTATACAGATGTAAATGATCATCCTTTTTTACAGAAGATTTGCTGCTAATGTGTATATGATGCTAGTGATTGCACATATTTCAGAATTGTACTTCCCACTGTTTATACCATATTGCACCAACTAGTTGATAACCTGTAGCTGACAAGTATTATTGTTTTTAGTTTTCCATGATGAAATAACTTCAGAGTCCAAGCTTTACTTAGGGGGTACTTGCACAAGGTATAACACTGAGTTCAGAATAGGATCAAAGAACATTCAAGAAAAGTCACCCATTTCATGTATAAGTATTACTAACATCTTTAGTGTAGGGCATCTATAAAAACATCTCTAGTGTAGTGAAATTCAATAGTACACCCAATAAGATGACTGCGCATGTGCAGACACATCCTAATTAGCAATAGAAGTGTTTGCTTTTGTATGACATGGATGAAAATGGAGGCTTGGAGAAATTGGGTTGATTAGACCCAAAGGGTTCGTATCTTCTGCCTTCGGTCTCAAACGCAAACTTTACCGTTGCTTCATCCTTTCGGCGATCAATAGCCGTATGCATTGGCCCGATTAAAGTGCTAATTGTCAAAGTACTTAATTAGCAGCTGCTCGTCTGTTTTCTTTTTCCAGGAAAAAAAATCCGGAGACACATCGTTCAGGAATAAAATGCCTAAGCGCTTAAAAACCACCTCATAACCCAAATGCCTAAAATTAGTGAATTTATTTTCCAAAAGCTTCAAGAAATTTATGTGAAATCAAAGATAGCCTTGATGTACTACTACTATGTGGAATCAAAGTGACAAGCACAGTAAGGTAAGAGATCAAACAAAGAGATGGAAGTTGCTTGCATCTCTAAACCAACTAAAATTGAGTATTATCAAAATTTTGTTAGGCAACAAAGTAAATACACTCTTACCTGGTATCCTACTAAAAGATATAAGAGAAGTTTTACTCTTATAAAAACATTACTGTATTAAAATTTAATATGGTTGAAAATCAAACTATGTAACAAACAAGTATTGAGCTAGAGCAGGGTTCAATATTTCGTTTTCGGTATTTGTATCGAGGTACCGATATAACGAAATTTTCGAAACGAAATTGTATGAATTTTTGAACAAAATTTGATCAAATTTGAACAAAACATTACCAAATTAAAAAAAATTAAAAATTTCGATCGAAATAATATCATATCGAGGGGGTCCGATAGAACCGAAATATCGTTCCGAAATTTAGAACCTGAGCTGGACTACAAATTTCAGAGCACTCCAAACAAAGGGGAAAGAGAAATGAGCAAACGTTCCTCGCAAGGAAAAAAAAAAGAAAGAAAGAAAGGAAAGGAAATTAAGAGAAAGAAAACGAAATGAGCACACGCGTATTTAATTTTCTCTGCAGACCCATTCCGGCGTCGGGCGCGTGTTCTCTCGGCTGTGCACTGCTACTGCTAGTGGTAGTGGACGAAGACTCGTCGTCGTCGACTATGGGTTGACTAGGAAGACGGACATGAGTTTCTCCACGTGATGTGTGGAGCCAATTTTCCAAAAGTACTAAATAGAAACAGGCCAGCACAGTTGTAAGCAATCTTGATTTTTGCTCTTACAGGTTATACGAGGTTATTTGGCAACCTAATAACGACTCTAGGTCTCTAGCGTATAAATGCATGAAAAAGTTCACTGAAAAGCTCAGTAGCTCACGACTCAAAATTGTGTTCTTGGAATAATTAGTTTTTAAATATATGACGCTGCTGAAATATGACCACTTTTCTAAAAATTTGAAGTAAATATAAAAAGTATAGGTAAAACACCTTTAATCACAAAATAATAAGTTACAATAAAATAAATAATATTTACAATTATTCCAAATTAGGGGATTCCTCGGTAGCCTTGCAGATTAGAAACTCTTGTTTATGTCAAGTCTTCGTTTATTTGTTCGGGAATTGGATTTTAACTAGCTCCATATATGGAATTCTTTCTATGCACTGTTCGGTATACACACCATATGCTATGAAAAAAACTAGAAAAATGTATATGTATATATGTAATTATAATTGTATTCCACCTTTAGATATGTAAAGTCTCATTTTAAAATGTATTATACAGAGAAAAAATAATGAAATTCTAATATATTTACTCTTAAAACTGTAGTTTTTCCTTTTTTTTTGTTACGGCTAAAAATATAATGGATTTAAAGTTGGGACTTTACCCATATGTGTGTATAACACTACTGAAAGTCACTACTAAAAAAATGACTTTCCTCAAACAATCAACACCAATTTTCACAAATGGCTGAGTGGCCCGGCTCCACCGAGATATCTGTAAAAATTGACATACAGGTGGCACACCCACGCACAACAAATCATTTTTCGTAGGCAATCGGTTATGTCGCCCATGAAAAGAAAAATCATGAAAAACCTAAAAATCCCAAAAATTGAAGCCCTAACCCTAGCTCCTATTGGTGGGCGTCGTTGTTGTCGTCGCTGAGGCCCAACAGCTCCTGATGCCGCCGCCAGCGACGCATCCACTCCTCCTAAGGTCGGCGCCATCATAGTCCGCCATGCATCGTTGTTTATCATTGTAACCATTGTTGGATCCGCCGTCCTTAGGCCACCATCGTCGTTGTAGCCCTAGTCACCGTCACCCCCTCCCAACTCCTCCACCGCCTACACACCCTTGCCATCAGGGCCTCCGCTGCTGATCCTCCCCCATCCCGATGCCAGTGATGGCAGATCCACCCTTTGCAGGGGCAGCGGCGGCAGATCCGTTCGTCACGGCGCCACCCGGTGGTGGCTCCCGTCACGACACTGCTTGCCTTACTAGTCCCTTTGCTGGAGGATCTCTCTCCAGAGGAGGAGTAGAGGAGACGAAGGGGGAAAAGTAGAGAAGCTAAGGGATAGAAGGGAACATGGAGGAGTTAAGAAGAAAAAGGAAAAGGTATAGATGGCCAAAAGGCCCGCCCGGCATGGCCCGGCCTAGGCACGGTGAGGCACGGCCCACCAGCTATCGGGCCGGCACGGCCCGATCGGCACTTCGTGCTGGGCCGTGTCGGCCCATGGGCTGCACCTTCTGCCTAGGCACGACCCACCAGCTGTCGGGCCATGCCGTGCCGGCCCGAAGGCACGGGCGGCCCATCGGGCCTTTTTTAGAATAAGTCTATTTTTCGTCCCTCCTCTTTGCGCGGTTACATGTGTATAGCTAAAATAAGTCTATTTTCCATCCCTCTTCTTTGGGCTGACATATGTATAGCTAAAATAAGTCTATTTTCCATACCTCCTCTTTGGGCTGACATATGTATAGATAAAATAAGTCTAATTTATATCCCTATCCTTTCGGTACATGGCATATAATATGTCTATTTTTACTCCCTAATTTATTTTTTGTGTATCGGGCCTGACTGCCGGCCCATCGTGCCGTGCCGGCCCGGTCGTGCTGGGCCGGCCCAACGTGCCGGTGGAGGGGCCCAGGAACGGCCCGGTGGTCGGGCCGTTCCGTGCTTGGGCCGGGCTAAAATGTCGTGCCATGGGCCGGGCCGTCAGGCCTCGGGCCTTTTGGCCATCTATAGGAAAAGGTGGTGGCCTGCAAAAGTTATTTTTACATGTGGACCTCTTGCCCGTCTAAAAAGTAAAGACGGACCACTTATGAGGTCCACTTGCCAAAGTGGATTTTTTAAACAAGTCTTAACTCGGGAATGCTCATTGCCGGGCGTCCGGCGCGGGGGGAGCCGGATCGGACGCTCCCCCCGCGCGCCCTCCCCCACGTGCGTACGGCCCACCCACTTCTCTCTCTTATTTTTTCAACAAAAGATGTTTCACCTAGTGTATTTACAATGTTTCACTATTTATAGATCCAATGTTGCAGTGAATTAAAATACTCTTTTGTAACAAAAAAACCCACATATTTTAGAAACTCTCTATCAAGGGAATTTAGTTTATTTTTTGTTCTACAAAAAATTTTTCACCTAGTGTACTCACAATGTTTCACTATGTATAAATCTAATGTTGCAGTGAACGAAACATTCCATTGCAACAAAAAAAATCCATATATTTTGGAAACCCCCTATTAAGGGAATTTGGTTTATTTTTTGTTCCACCGAAAAATGTTTCATCTAGTGTACTCACAATGTTTCACTATGTATAGATCTAATGTTGTAGTGAACTGAAACATTCTTTCGCTATTTGCTGAAACATTGTTTTTATATAAGGTGAAACAACACCTGATTTAAACGAGTGAAACATTTTCGATCTGCTTAGTGAAGCAATTCCGATATACCTGGTGGAACATCGTGCAACATTTAAAAATAATTCAATAATAAGCTAATTTTTTTCGTCGGAATATATCCATGTGTGGTCTTGTTTTGAAGATTTAATTGTAACGAATTTAATAGTGTAATCGGATCATGATTTGGATAAGTAATTTAAGAGAAAAATCAGTTTAAAGTAGTTTTGTACGTAAATCGGGCGCTGACGTCGTGCTGACGTCAGAGCCCGATTTTAACCTGTTTGCATGGGGCGCCCGAGCGGAAGGCGTTCCCATCTTAACTGGGTAGATTCTAAAAGAAGCGGTAGAATTTTTAAGTGCCATATATATATATATATATATATATATTAGTTGGACTATGCACCTGAATCTTGCATGCATAGAATACGTTCCCCCATATATAATAACATAGATGAGGAATTTGCCTTCTTATTGAAGTTGAACACCATTTCATGCCAATATATATATGTCCTCTGAAACTTTATGAGTTCTGCAGTATGAATGAAATACGCACGCATTATATATAGGCTCATGTTCTTATAATCCTCTATTAGTATTATTATCAATCTTCATACCATCTGAACAAAGGTAGCTCATTTCATATTAGAGAACACCGAGAAGACGAACCCAAAGAAGCAGTCGTCCTCAACGAAGCAACTCAAATTAGGCCTCACAAGCTCTCAAAAGGAGGCCAGCGACAGCGATCAACTAGGTAGCGCGCATCTCAAAGCAGAGTACATAGCTAGCCTCGACCGACCGATACGTCGACGATCTGTCTCAGTTGGCAGCCATCCTCTTGGAGTTGGAGAGCAGCTTGGCGCGCAGCTCCGCCGCGTCCACCTCCTTTGCGCCGCCGGCCGGCCGGTAGTACCCGGTCACCGGGTCCGGCACCCACGCCGTCTTCTCCTCGGCGGCCTTCGCCATCGTGCGCTTGGCCACCGCCGCCGCCACCTTCTTCTCGTCCGCCCTCCGGCCGGCTCCCTTCGCCACGGCCGCCGCCACCGAGTAACCCCTCCTGCAAATCATCATCACACATCACCCACGGATTAATTAATTGGCCATCAATACACAAAACAACACACTAACACAGCACTTGTAAAGAAAACAAACGATTTCATGGACAACTTGAATGCATGGAGAGCTAACCTTTGTGCCAGAAGGCTGAGACAGCTCGATGCAACCCTCTCCATGGATGATCAACTTTCTTTCTCTCTCTAAGTTTGAACTATATGTAAAAATGAGCTGGTAAATCAGGAATCTTGTTTGAGTTGTGAGGAAGGAGAGAGCAGCCGGTGGCTTGTTATATAGACATCGAGAGGAGCTGGAGGAAGAAGAAGAGAAGAGGAGGAGGCCAACGTACGAAGACGACGACGACCAAAAGGAAGGCTCTTGGAAGACGTCCAAGAGGCAAGGGGCATATGCATGACACAAAAGCCGAAAGGCTGTTTCGCCACGTGTGGAGCCAGTGAGCCGGAGCCGCACGGCTCGACGTGGCTGGCACGCGGGGCCGACCAGCTCTCGCTGAAAGACGCTGAATTTTAGGCTGTGCTCGGTCTACGTTAAAATTATAATTTTGGTTAAAATTAGAACGATGTGACGAAAAAATTAAAAGTTTACGTGAGTAGAAAAGTTTGATGTGATGGAAAAAGTTAGAAGTTTGAATAAAAAATTAGGATCTAAACACGGTGTTAGTTCGATTTGATATTGATTCCCCTCCCCTGAATTCGTGGTTGCGTTTAGCCGTCTTCTCGATTCGCTTCGGCCGCATGCGGTTTGAGTGGACTGCAATACAAAGGAGGCTTCTTTTCCCCGCGGCCGTAAGATATGATATGGATCCTCCCAGCTGGACCACGCTGTGTGGCCTGGTTTTTTCTTGCTTGGGGAAACCAAAGATAAAAAGACAACAAAAAAAATGCCAAATGAGAGGTGTTGTGTGGAGCTAAGCCCAAATGATTAGGACATGTCGTTGATACATGATCATGATGTGTGTTTCGCAGCCAAACATTTTATAATGATCACCTATATTAATTTATTCGAGATCGACGCGCGGCGACGATATATAGCTTGAGACTTAATTTGGTGAGCATTTGTTTATTCCATTATTACAGGAAAAGATGAGCAAAATATATGGATCGGACGACAAAATTACCAACCATGCCAAGTCATACATACTTGGAAGAAGGCAACAAATTAAAGAAACGTTACATGTAACTTTTTGTTTTCCTTTTACGTGTGAACTTCAGGCTAGCTTCAGTTATACACACAACACAAACTAGCTAGCGCATACAAAACCAAATTAGCAAACCACACAATATGATCCCTTGTAATTAAAGCAAATGGAGATGACATGGAATCCGTGGCCCCTTTTTTCCACAAAAGAAAGAGGAGAATCCGTGGCCGTCAAGTCGGCTAGCTAAGCTCGCCCCTGCAAGCTGGAGTCCATGCATTTTTGCATATGCGTTGTGTTGACTAGTTCCCTTCTTGGCACACAACACGTGGATGAGTAAAGCTTCTCCATGAATTAACTCTTCTTTTTCTCCACTAATTTAACTTCTTCCTCGCTTTGTACTCTCAATCGAACGACCTAATTTTTTTTTCACATGTGGCCAACGTTTCTCTCTGCGTACGCCAGCACGGATCGCATGAACACAACGCCGCTCGCGAAAGGGGGGAGCATGAGCCTGCAGGGTCCATTCGATCGCATATACGGCTCGAAAGGTTTGGCGAAAAAAAGATAAGGCAAAGATGTTTGTATATTTTGTTCATGGACATAATGATGAGGTCGAGTAGGATGAACGGGCTGCTTTAATTGAGAAAATATGTAGTGTAAATCACATACTCCCTCCGTACTCGTAAAGAAAGTTGTTTAGGACAGTGACACGGTCTCCAAAACACAACTTTGACTTCTTATTTCTATAAAAATATTTATTGAAAAGTGATATATATAGGGAAATTTTACGGTACAATATACTGCAAGTATATATGATCTAACGGTATAGATTGATTTCATTTTTTAGTTAATTAACTTGCAGTATAAAATTTGAAAGGGTAATTTTGTCTTTTCTTCGTTATTCTATTATCAAATCGTGCTATCTTCATGTGCTTTGTCATCGGATGGCGCTCAGGATGCTCCTCCCCTAGTGCACGATAAGATCCAGGACCGGGTACGTACTCCCAATTAGATTCAATCTGAACTAAAAATTACTAAAGTGTTATTTTATTTTCTATCGAATTCCTAATATACTCTTCTATATACTGTCAGTATATACTCGTAGTATATTGTACCGTAAAATTTCTCTGTATATATGCATACTTTTATGAAAGTATTTTTCAAGACAAATCTATTCATATAATTTTTACATTTTTAAACTCAACAACTTGAGAGTTATTCATGATTTATATTCCCAAGGTTTGACTTAAACATTGTCCTAAACGACTTTTTTTACGAGTACGGAGGGAGCATGTCATTAAAATTTAATAATTACCATTGAATCGATAAATAAACGTTTGATATTCGTACATGTCAATTTTTACCCATGAGTAAATATATGAGTAAAATTTTTTACTCATAATGACGTTGACGAATTACGTAGTGACGTTGACGAATTACGTATGTCCATTTTTCAATACAATGGTAGTTTTCATGTTTCTACCACGTATTTTCCTCAGTTTTGTTTCGTAAACATCATGATGACCATGATATATCGAATTTGTTACTGCAAATGGAAGGCTTGCGTGGCTAGCTCTTTCCCCTGCAGAAAGGTGAGTGCTACTGCTTATAATTACTACCCTAGTCACAAATAAATGTTATTTTCGACAACGACATAATAAAAACTTGAATCCAAAAATATATTCAAAATAAAGATATATTGACAGTCATAATTTAAACGTATTAATTGCATGTATTACAAGCATCACTTATTTTTATATTCTGATCAAGGGAGTAGAGTACTACTTAGCTACCCTGATCGAATCATAGGGGTTCGGATGTTCGATCGATCATTTGAGTTTTGGAAGAGATATATGCCAGCCTCTTGGTGTAAAAAAAAAATGTCTACTCCACATACATCTGACTCCCATATATATCAACAATAGGAGCAACGATGACACACTGTGAGTTTGCGGGAAGCACAAGTGGTATATGCTGGTGGAGTTATGGGTGCATTACTCCACCTACTATGATTCAAATCCTACTATCCACAAATACTACATATAGACATGAGCTTTCAACGTAAATTTAGTGAGATCATGGATGTGTCTCTAATTTTCGCCCCTTAAAGCATATGTTAGGGGTATATTCACGGGGTAAGTGTGATGTTGCGTATATAGTGATGTGTGCGCATGTAGGGATGGCAATTTCCCCCGCAAGGTCGGGTCCCCTGCGGGTACCCGCCCCTACGGGGCCGGGGTCGGGTGTACTTTCTACCCCGCGGGGAGTCGGGGCCGGGGCCCCGCAATTAGACGGGTGAGGGTACGGGGGAGGTATTCCACCCGCGGGTTACCCGAGGGGCCCCGGAGGAAGTATATTAGACTTATAAATATAGTGCCAATTCTAAATATAGCCCATTAGGCCCAATCCAACTTGATAAAAACCCTAACCCTACTACACCCCACCCCCACTCCCCCATGCACAAACTAACCCTCCTCACTCCTCAGCCGCCGCCGTCGGCACGCTAGTGCGCCCCTCCCCAGCGCCGGCGGCGCGCCCCTCCATCTCGCATTCTTCTCCGTCCCTCCAGTCCTCCCATCTCCCTCTCGCCTGTCTCCCAAGTCCCAACCCCTCCTGTCTTCACGCGGTGGTGGACGGGCGGTGGCCGAGCGGCATGGCGAGCAGCGCGTGAGCGGCGGACTGTCAGCGCGACGGGCGGCACGAGGACGGCACACGGGCACGGCGAGCCAGCGACTGGGCAGCACACGCAAGCCTCCTGCCACGCGCCCCTCTTCCTCCTTTCTCCACGCGGCGGCGAGCAGGGCAGCGATGCGCGGGCGTGGCGAGCCGGCGACCAGGCGGCGCACGTCCTCCTGCTACGCACCCCTCTCCCTCCTTTCTCCACGCGACGGCGAGCAGGGCAGCGGTGCGCGGGCGCAGCGAGCTAGCGGCGCACACCCTCCTGCCACGCGCTCCTCCCTCCCTTTCTCCACACAACGGCGAGCAGGGCAGCGGTGCACGGGTGTGGCGAGCTAGTGGCGCACGCGAGACTCTGCCTTCGCCGCGTCCGATTGCGGGGCCCCGGATGGGCCGGGGCTGGGGGTTGATTTGGCCCCGCAACTCCACTCGGGGCCGGGGCCGGGTGGAGAAGTCGGGGGTCGGGGACGGGGCCGTTCCAGCCCAACCTGTCCCCGACCCGCCCCGTTGCTATCCCTATGCGCATGTGTCTGCCGTATAATTAAAAAAATATATTTGTAAGTTTGCATGGATTGTATATATATGTGAATTTACAGCCTAAAAAAAAGATACGTGGATGGAGATATGTATGGATTTGATTGATTTACGCATTATCGATATATATCAATTATATATTCTGCGACATTATGCCACGTACAAGATCGAGATCCCTATATATCCTTAGATTTTTCATATAAAGTTGACAAATATGTCTGGATATTAACGGAGATGCTGTCGCATCCACAAACAAATTATGTACCACGCTAGCGCGCTGCTCTGTGAAGTTTTTTCAGGCAAATGTTCAATGAAAGTGACAGACTAACATAAGTGCAATGTCGTCTGCATGCACACTGGGGTCGAAATTATTTCACATTTGGCACGTCTTTTTTTTTTATCTATCCAAGCTATTTCTCCATCCCTAAAAACGTACTCCAGTTTTAACTAGTCAAAGCGAGATAAAGCAAGATATTAAAAGATAACTATGTCATTTAATTATTAAGACGGAGAGAAAACGAGAAGAGCCGAGTACTACTAGTTTTAAAACAAGAAAAAAAAATAAAGATGGAGTAGTTTTAATAAGTCTATTGAACCCCACTTTAAAAAATATATTCTTTGTGGTACAAATTTAAGTTAAAACTAAATTTTGTTGGAAACGGAGGAAGTAGTCAACTTGAATTAAAGTGTGCAATTTAACTCCAGAGAAAATTGAAGAGGGAAAAGAGAAAACAAAAATTAAATATTGTTGATGACACTATCGCTCATTTCTTCTCTTTTTGAACCATCCAAGTCACTCTGAATTAAAGCATGCTCTGAAGTCTAGAGAAAAATAAACGGGTTTACACACTAGAAGAATTCAAACATGCACGAAAGGTGACAAAAGAAACAGGGACGAAATTAAATGCGCTGAAACGATTTTAACGACTTCAAACTTTCAGCCGTTTACTATACGACTTAGTTTGTAGCGCCCGTTCCGTCGTGGCG